AAACCCATTTCTATTTGTCTTGGAATCTGAATTTTTGCATGCAGTTAGGTACCACCTAGTCTAGCTCAGGGTCAGAATCTCCAAGTCTGCAGTCTATTCCTTCCTTGTCGTTTTCAACTTTTCCCGAAAAACACCCTCTGTAAAAGCCCATTTCTAATAATCCGACAAGTCAGAAAATTGCAGTGTGCAATGGGGCCAAAAAGTTGACACCCTGAACCACAGCTCATCACTCTGCGCACACTTGTCCCGAAAACGAGGATTTGCTCACTGGTATTAGAACACGCTTATAGTTTCTTTTCCAATTTTCAGGCCCCTCTAATTCTTCGATGCCAATGTCTGGCACATCATTCGAGAGGGTTTTCCAAGCCCTCTTATATGGCACCAAGCCAGCCAGATTCCTGCAATCGACCAATCTACAGACTCCAAAAAATGCAGGTAGTAGGCTACCTACACATCAAGTCGTTCAGACTCTTCTTATATTTCTATCTTTGGTAGAATTGATGCCAGAAAGCCGAAATTTCGCAGGTAGGTAGCTATACTATCTGGCTACATGCCTGTGAAATTTCAGCTCCCGGACATCAATACTTTGGCAGTTATAGAGCTCACACGGAGCTTATTCAGTTTCGAACATGTAATTTGCCACTTTGAAAGCGTATATCTCTGCAAGTAAAGCTCCGATCGACATGCAATTAATTTTCCCCACAAGGGCCATCTATTGGCTATCATTTTGCTAAGTTTCAAGGCGATCGCTTCAGTCGTTTTTTACTCAGTAATTCGTGCGCCATTTCGACTTTTCTCAAATCAATGGTTTTTAATTTATAGCGTCCACATATCATTTCAGACATGCGGTTTTTCACTTGATTCACTAGTTTGGCACTATTCTAAAGCCAATGACATCAAGTTTTTTCAAGTCCGATCAACACTTTTTGCGCTTAGCTCTATAAATTTTTTAGCTAGGCATCTGAGTTTTTATTGGCTGTTAGCTTGACTAGCCTTCTTTAATGTCCTCTAATTCAAAAAAGATCCAATATTTACTTTTTCAGTACTAAGCGTTACAAGTAGCCTACCCTTCATTGTACAAGACCCATATGTCACCATATTTTTTTTCTATTTTTTTTTTCTTTTTTTTTTTGCCTATTTAACTTCTATTCATGTGTACTAGGTGTTTGGGTGTGTCACAAGTCCAATATTTAGCCTTTAAAGTGTTCTTGGACACCTCTTTGACACTCGCATGCAGCAAGTTCCATCTATGGCGCCATGCTTCAGAAATCGCACACTCATTCCGCAGTTCAGTGCCAAGTTTCAAGTCCATCGGACAATTAGCAAACAAACGAGAGTCAAAAAGATTGGTCACTAAAAACGCACTTTTTCACTTCTTCAGCTTTTTTTCAGCTTTTTCGCAAAAACAACCGTTGCAAGCCCTCTACCTAACCCTAACCCGAAATAATTATTTACACTATCATGCCAAATTTCAAACTTCTTTTCCTATTATTTCTACTCTTTTTTCTTATATGTCTCTTTTCCTTTATTTCCAGTCTACAGTATCAGAATGCAGTCTTTTTTGGCTTCATTTCCACAGTTTTCATCCAATCCACTTGAAATTTGCATGCAAGTCGTC